ACTTCAGAGCCCAATACCCCCAACTGTTTGATTGAGCGAGAGAAAAAAAAATTTAAAGGACCAAATTTCTTTTAAGGGAAGAGAGTTGTAATGCCCAATTTATTTTTATGTAATTTTAAATTAATTCATAAATATAATTTTTTAATTTTTAAATTTTAATTTAATACAAAATTGAAGGAAATTAGGTGAAGGATGAAATTGAAAACAATTTTAGGAAAAATATGTGAAAATTTAGATTTTGGGAGTATTTTTGAAAGAAAAATCGAAAATCAGGGGTCAAAATGTAATTTAAAAAGTTGTGCCACGTAGGATGTCTTGTCAGCAGCCCCGACGAGCTAGAACGCACCACGTGGCGAGGGATGCTGACGCAGTGTAGCAGGCGATCCGCGTGCCCGCGATCGGACAGTCCAGATCCTCTCCCGCACGCACAGACGGCCCAGATGCGTGCACTCCTTAGACGCGATCAGACACTCAAATTTAAATGCGATCAACGGTCTATATCTACTTCTTATTTAATTGCGATTGGATGGGTTCAGATCAAATGTGATGGACGGTCTAGATTAAAAGAGAACATTTATAAATAACCCTCTTCACACCAAACCCTAACCCTAGCCGCTAGACACCATCGTCGGAGAAGAAGACCCAGCCGCCGGAAAGGAGAGTCGTCGCCGCGCCGGAGTCACTTCTGACCGCTAAAAGAGGTAAAAAAATGTTCTTTTTCTCGGAATTTAATTTTAAACACCCTCATGGCCACATTGGAGCCAAAAGATTGGTAGATTGGCTGAAAACCGTGGGCAAAACCCGGCGGCACTGTCGCAAGAAATTATAAAAAATGCCTCCGATGAGGCCATTCCCGATTCCCATTCTGCGTAATTTTTTCACCATTGTAACCATTGTTTCCTCATCTACAGGTTGACCGAAGCAAAACACCCAACCGTAAAGGTGAACTGGCGGAGCCGCCATACCGGAGAACCCCGCCGCCGATGAGTTTTAATTTTTTATTTTTTTTCGACTAACCAATGCCCCTTAACGTATTTTCTCGTAGGGATTGATACAAAACTTGTCGAATTCGGTGAAAAACGATCAAAAATAGTCGACCCGAGTTAAACTGCCACCGTCCGTCGTCGAACCACAACGGAACCGCCATGCTGGAATCCTAGAATTGGCCAAAAAGAGGTCCTGATACCGATTTTAGATTTTTGGGATATTTGTAGGTACTTATAGCGCGCTTTAATTCCAAAAAAAAAAATCAGAAACCTGGGGACTGCCAGTAGACGCAGTCAACAAGTTTAGCTTTTCGAACATCAATTTGAGTAAGAATCTCTCATCATATTCTATGTTATAGAATTAAAGTTAAATTAACAATAATATAGTATTTTGTGCAATTTAAAAAATATCCATAATTAATCACATGTTACTAATAGAGCCAAAACTAAAAATTATTCACTATCGATTCCTGTTGAATTAGTTTACAGTTTGGATGCACGATAATATCTGTTGATTGATTTTATAGTTTTAAATGTATGTATTATTATTTTATGTGATTACGATTGAATTGGAAAATTGAAGATTAAAAGTAAACGGGGAACTGTATGATTGAGTGAATGGATGAAACAACAGTCTTACTAGATATCCTAGGAGATGTGGATGGACCGAGTGCATAAGAAATCTTACCGTGAACATTGCCTCATACTGGACGGGGTATCGAGACTTAGTAATTTAGTGCTCATACCGAACAGGGTATGGAGACGGCCTGTTTTACCCTTATACCGGACGGGGTATTGAGATTTAGTGATTTGGCGCTCATACCGGACGAGGTATGAGGACGACCTATTAATTGAAAATGTTAAAGAAAATGATTCACGCGTTGTGGAGATATCCTTAAGAACTCCTATGGATACCAATAGACTGATAAAAGAGAAAATTATTATTCCAACCAATTGTATATGAAATTATAAAATGTGTTATGTTATTATCTCTATAAGTTGTTTTGTAAATTTTGCTACGGTAAGTAGGTGGTAAACGATTGTATTTATAATAAATGAATTTGCTTAAAATAAAAGCTCAATTAGTTGTTTTCATGATTTCTATCAACCTTCATTTCTGCGTCGGTGAGTAGTGTGATATTCTTACTAGATTAGTGTAGTTCATTCCTTTATTAACAATTTCATATCAAAAGGACTAGAATCTAGAACCCGATCCACAAGAGGGTTGTGAGTAGAATGTCAGTTTTATTTATTTCTCGTTTATTTTCTTATTTTTTGTATTTTCTTTAAAGAGTAATTTTCGTAGTATTATTTGGGACTTTAAGTTTTTGTGTAAGGAATGTAAACTTTAACTATTTATTTTGCTTCCACACTAAATTTATAATTTATTTTCTTTAGAATTTTCGGGGTCGTTATAAATTACACTCATACCGGATGAGGTATTAAGATGGTTTATAATTGTAGCTCATTACCAGATGGGGTATTGAAATAGTTTATACTTGTGGCATCCATTATCGGACAGGGTATGGGGACGACTGATGAATTGTAAAAGAAATATTTTTTATATTCACGTGTAACGAGGATCCCTATGGGCCCCTAGTAATATCGGTGATGGCAATGAAAATATATAATGAAAATGGAAGCGATCTGGATACGTATCTGGAGTGGTTTATGGTATTTATGAATGAAATGAAATTATCTGAATATTAATCTAATACGATATAGTGATATTTATGAATGAGAATGATATGTACAATACCTATATATGAATATGTTGGAATGAGTAATGAAAAGGGATGTGGTTATTGATTGTTTCTTTTATTATGCTTTACGATGATGATGATGAGTATGGTTGTTGCGCAAATTGGATGTCTATGAATATAAGATTTGCATTTGTTTTATTAAACCTGTATGAATGTGTATTTGCATATCTCTGTTTTGAACACTACTCTATTCTTATTGAGTCCGTGAAGCTCACCCCAATTCACATCCCTCAGTGCATATTAGTTCAGGTCAGGATTGAGTTCAAGATCAAATAAAAACTTTGAAAAATCTTTTAGTTACCTTAAAACGTTATTGTAAAGTAGATCATAATATATTATTATGATGTAACTTCGACGTATTGTTATAAGCCTTCTGAATTATGACTTTATACAATGGATGTATTATCGATTTATAGAGATTAACGTGATGTTACACAAAATTTATCAGACTTATGTGTGAGACAACTCTCCTTTATCTTTAGAGAAAACAGGTCGTTATGCTCTCATCCAGCTTGGATATAAAACATTTATTATAACTTGGTACATGATCTTTATTTTATTATAATTTAGTATTATATTTAAACATTCCAAATATAGTTTATTAAAATTTAAAATAGTAAAAATAATTTAAAATAATTCATTTATTCCTTTATATTTTTACTCCAACCTAGTTTTTAGAATTTTGTATATGTTTCAATATTTTGATTTTTATTTATTTATTATTACAAAATTAAAATAATTACAACATATTTAGAGGTTTTAAAAAAAATTACTAATTTTAAATCTTAAAATATTTAAAAATAGTTTATTTTGTGTGAATATGAGGTATTTTTTTAATGTTTTTAATTACTTCAAATTTTAAAATAAATTGTTCTTGAAAGCTTTCAAATATGTTATAGCAATGAAGTATTTTATGTTAAATGATAAATATAAATTAGATTTTTAAAATAAATATAAAATGTCAATAATTAAATTATAATAAAAAAATATTAAAATAATTAATTTAATAATTTATAAAAAAAAACAAGTAACTTTTTATTCTAAAGGAAAAAAGAAAAAAAAAAAAAAAAGTGAACAAGTTGTTATAACTAACAAACTTTTTTCCGGTCAGGCGACTGAGTTTGTTGTAAAGTGAAGTTTATTTTGTTTTGTGAACATTAAAAAAGCTGCCCACTACACAGAGTATCCCAATGTGTTTCAACATTAAATATATACACACACACACACACCCGCGCGTACGTATCTATATGTATGTGAATATTTTATTATATAATGTCATTCTTTAATATATATATATATATATATATATAACTAAAAAATTCTTAAAATTTAATTTTTTTTTTTGCATGATATAAGATGTTTTCTTCGTGCATTGTATGTATATATTAATTTTTATAATATATTATAATTTTACTGTAAGTAATAATTAAAATTCTAATATTTATCTTAAATTATCACTCCCAATAATTATAAAGTCAAAACTCATTAATTACATGGCATGATAGATTCATTGGTTCTGCACCTTTTCGTTTCAGATGAAAATTACTGAATTGATGCCTCTTCATCTATTCATATCCAATTAAAGATTCGCAATACTTTATGAAAATATTAAATCAGGTGTATCTTAGTTCAATTTAATTTTTGTGTATATATTATAGTTTGGGTTTTTATTTTAAATTCATTTACATTAGATTGTTATGATTTTTAAAATTATATTTTCAATTGATTAACGAAATGATAATAATAATAACAATATTATATATGATTTACGCTATTCATGTCTTATTAATTTAGGTACATTATTACTTAATTTGTATTTAACATCTGGTAACATGTTTTAATATAAAATAAGTTGATTTGTAAGACTTCAAAATCATATTAATATATTTTTGTATTATTTCTGTAAGTGATAAATAAATATTTTATTAATTAATTGAAAATTATGAATTTGAGTATAAAAGCAATAGAATATAATTGAAGGATAAATTTGAAATTCTATTTAAAAAATTTGATAATAAAAATATAATTGTGAAATTTAAAATATTTATTTTTAAAAAATGAAAAAAAAATATTTAAATAAAAAATTACTCAACCCGGTCCAAATGATCTACCGAGCACCGCTCAAGCCCAATTCAAACGGACTACATGTGGGGCCCCAGTTCTCTACCCCAATCACCTTTTAATTTTTAAAACCGGTTCGACCGGGCTCGCTCTAATATTTACAGCGTACAAATTTCATACTCTTAGCTCGTCATCTTCCACATGGAGAAGTTGCAGAAGGAGATATCATCTGGTTAATCCCCAGAGACCTTGCCCGATTAATCGTGACAAGACACAGATAAACGTGTTCTTCAAGCTCTTTCATCTGCTTCCTGAACTTAACGTCACTCTTCTTCAGCTCCTTCACCACCGCGTGCACCGAAAACATCCGATCTTGATCCAAGTAAAACCCGATCATCTTCTTGTTATGTTCGACCTCGTCGTGCAGCCGAGCCACCAGCCTGCTCATCGTGTCAAACTCTCTATTCAGAATATAAGTCCCCTTAGCCGCCGCGTCCAGCTGCTCCCTGATCTTTCTCAGAAACTCGTTTTTGAGGAAGTCGAGCTTGCAGTTCTTCGCCTTCTTGAAGACTTTCGCCGGGAAGCTGAAGATTGCCGGACCCATGACGATGGCGGTGAGTGTGTGCGCCGCGACGCATATGGCTGCGATTGTGAGGAGTCCACAAGCGGCGGTGATGCCGACCCCCGACGCGGTGTGGATACACTTGATGATCTTGATTCTCTTGGTAACCTTCTTGCTGGAGACTTTCAGCTGGTTCAAAACCGAGGAGTATTTATCGTGAATGGGTTTGAAGTAGTCATTATTGTGGAGATTGGAAAATGGGTTGCTGAGTTTGGTGAAGGATCTGAGTTGGGATAGAACAAGTTGGTGCTGGTCGTGGTCGGCGGCGGCAGCTGCATCGATGGCTCGTTGGATGAAACGGTGGTTGTGTTGGGTTTGTTTAATGGTGGCGAGTAGGTGGCTGCAGATTTTGGAGGCCTCGGCACTGATGTCGAAGTAGTCGAGGATGAGGAGCTTCAGCTGGGGGAGCTTGGAGAGGATTAGGGCGGACTCGAGGAGGGTGGGGATGGTGTCTTGGCCGGGTTCCAGGAGGATTTCAGAGAGTTTATGGTGGTTAGTGGAGGGAGAAGACGATGAAGATGAAGAAGACGATGAAGGGAAGCGGTTGAAAAGTGACTGTGCTTTGCTGAAGAAGTCTGCGTATGATTTTGTTCTCAGTGCACTCAGGTATTCTTCTTTCACGTTCAAGATCCGAGAACTTGCTCCATTTTTCATCTCTTTCTCATCTGTAAATCCTTTAATAAACACCAATAAGTAATATATACGTTCGTATAATATGTATAATGCTTACATATATATACGTATATGTCATAATTATACGGGAAGTTGAATAAGTTACATGAAACAAATAAACTTGAAGTTTGATTCAAGCATACCTTTTGTGATCTTTGTTGCTCTAAACTTGGTCCACATGGTAAGATATATATATATATATATATTTTGTGTATGTAAATGTTTACGTATATGCTATTTAAATTTATGGGTATATATGTTAGAAGAAGATGATATATATATATATGTGTGTGTGTATATATATATATGAATTGCAGAAATATATTATTTGGAGTTCTGGGTGCTGAAGGCTGTGAGCTCTTTCCTTAAAAACTCTTGTAGACAATGTCTTTGATTAAGTAATGATGAGAAATATGTTGGTGGCTTTATAAAGACTTTAAAAAGGATTGTAATTTACGCTATTGTATATGTATATACAATTATTATTATTATTATTTCATAAGTATAATATTCTAACTACATGCATACAGAAAATTATTGTAGAAGATACACATATATGTGTGTGTGAGTAATGCGTGGAGGATTGGTCATTTGTGATTTGTAAAGAGTAATGGTGCATATGTCATATTATAAGATTTTGAAGTAATTAATATCATCCACTTAAATTAATTAACTCATGAATTGAAATTTGAAATGAAAAATGGATATAAATTTTTAAATTTCTTTTTAAAAATACATACATATATATATATATGTATAAACGTATATACACACATAACTTGAGTAGTACAATTTAGGTATGAACCGAAAGTTATTCTTAGCCACTTTAATTACAATAGAAATTAAATAAATAAAAAAACAAGCAAACAACTATATAAACAGACACGCACAAAAGTGACGATGGCAATGAGAAAAACAGACTTCAATTTTATCACGTGTTTTTTCTTTTTTTTTTTTTACTTACGAAAATGATTTGCATATTAATATTCAGTATTCAATTTCAATCAATACAAATTAATATATATATTAATTTCTGAATACTGAATTTAAATAATGGTTGAATGAACTCCGCAGGAAAACATGTGCACACAAACAACGTGAAGGAAGGAAGTGACTGAGGCTTGTAGAGAATGCTATACATATGTTTCGATTTTTATTACAAAACTTGACCATTAAGTAGCTTAGTGTAAGGAGAACAACACAATATATATATATATACATACACATATATATATATATATATATTATAATATGTCTAAATATTATTAATATTTTAACTATTTTTAAACCATAAAATTTGATAATTATACTAGCTTTTTATTTCTTTGATAGTTTTATTTTTTATTTTTTAAAAATATTTATTTTAAGATTTACTTTATAAATGTCTTTATCCTATTAATGAATTCAAATGATTATTTTTTATTATATATCATATGTAGTGTAAAGTTATAAATATATAATTAAAATAATAAATTTTTATATGTTTTATAGACAGATTTTTTTTAAAATTAAAAATTAAAAATTAAAAATCAAAATATTTTTTTTATTTACAAATAAAAATTTATCCAATGAGGTTTATTATGCTATAAAGTGATTCATTTTTGTGCTCGTAGACTTCTAGTTATAAGTTATAACGTTCAAGCATCCCTGCCCGCTTTATCATAATTATTTACGACCCAATATTTTTCATTTACGAACTTAAATTAATTAAATAAATTTATTTGATCGGATCAAACTGAACATGTGTGTCCATAAGCTTTTACCTTGGACTCCCCAAATGGTCCTATCATTAAAACGATAGAACTGGGCCAAGTGTTCGTGTCCAAAATCCCCTTGCCAATTGTCATCTGTTACCTTCTGTCTTGCTCATTATCACCGACAAGCGGGGCTTAGTCACGTGGCACTTACACATCCAATCACAGACGAACAGCTAATATCTCTTAAATCAGTCATAACCCTAATGTCACAGCCAACTCAGCCGCCTGTCACTCTAACACCAACCTTCTTCCCCCCACCAATGCCAAACCCAGTCAAAACTTCAAACCCCACGCAAATCGGAACCTAGGAAACCCAGGTTTACCGGCAACCGTCTCTGCCCGTTTGTCATCTTTCCTAATTCCCACTGCACTTCTCCTTGATCCCAGATTCCCAGCAGAATTAACCAAATCCCCAAATTCCAAACCCTAACAACTGGACCGAAATCGTCTCGGGTTCTTGTTACAGGAATCTTCAGCTTCACAAGGCTGTGCTTTTTGCAGTTGATGACTGAGAAATTCAGTTTCGGCTCTACAGAGAAAAAGTCTACATAGAGAGAGAAAGGGGGAAGGGAGGCCTAAAATGGCGTCGTCTAAGGTGATGCCATCTTCTGACTCGAGAAATTCGGATCTTTCTCGTCGTTCTTCTTCTTCTGCATCCTCTTCCTCTGCAAATCCCCAACACCAGTACCAATACCAACAACTATCTTCCTCTGAACAAACGAAGAGGAGCAGAAGCCAAAACAAGAGCAAATTTGCTTCTACGATGACCGTAGACGGCATCCTTCGCGATGTATACGATGCAAATCCCCCGACGGAATCCACTCTCCTTGATGCCTCCATCACTCTGATAGAAGCTCCAGCCCCGGCAATTACGGCTGCGGCAATCGATATCAATCGGGGTCAGAATCAGAGCCAGAACGGTAGTGGTCCGTTGGCACCGAAGAGCGTTGACGATGTCTGGAGGGAGATTGTGTCCGGGGAGAGGAAGGAGATGAAGGAGGAGGTGCCGGACGAGATGATGACGCTGGAGGATTTCCTGGCGAAAGCTGGTGCTGTGGAGGCAGTGGCCGAGAAGAAGGAGGAAATGGATGTGAAGTTGCAGCCGGAAAGGCTGAGTGGCGGGGTCTACGCCTTTGATCCGGTTCCACCGAGCCCTTTCCAGGTGGAAGGATCGATTATAGGATTCGCGAACGGGGTGGAGGTGATTGGTGCTGGTGGTAGTGCTGCGAGTGCAGTAAGTGGAGGAGGCAGGGGGAAGAGAGCAAGACTCGTGTTGGAGCCTTTGGACAAGGCCGCGCAGCAACGGCAAAGAAGGATGATCAAGAACAGGGAGTCTGCTGCTAGGTCGAGGGAGAGGAAGCAGGTTATTTCAATTTGGTGTTTGTTCTTCTTTCCTCTTAAATTCGTCGCTTTCACTTTTGTTTCTTATTTTGGCCACTTGTCGTGAATTGTAGGCTTACCAAGTAGAACTAGAATCTTTGGCGGTGAGGCTGGAGGAGGAGAACGAGCGGCTGTTGAAGGAGAAGGTATTGCATTATTTATTTAAGTTTTCAGGATGATTTTGAGTAAGCTGCTAGCTCTGGCGCTCTGCCTTCTCTTCTGCAACAACCTATCGCAAATCTTATCCAGTTGAATTGTGTTGATTTGCATTCATCCAGTTGAATCATGTTGGTTTGCATTTTCTTTTTTGGCTTTGTAGCAATATGGCGCCATTAATTGGTGAAAAAGTGGATTTTTTGCGAGTATTAGCATCTTCTGCACCTTTCCATATTAATCTCTCATCAAATAGGAAAAAAAAAGCATGACCAGGTTTTCGCTAATTAATGATTAGTTCTATCAGGAATTATTTCACTGGGGACATACATTCTCTTTTTTGGGGAAGTGGGGACGTAAGTTCTCTTAGCCATAGGTTTATTTAGTTAACTGGGCGAACATGGAAAGCAGCAATTTAGTTTATTTGCAACCCTGCGTCTCTTAATGCTTGGGATGTAAAGTTGTCATGTGGTATGGATTTTTCATTTCTTTTATGCTGAATACTCAATTTTCTCCATGATGGCTTTTGAAGCAAATGCCTAAGAATAAGCACTAAAAATTGTTTTTCCAAGAGCATAAGAAAGCCCAACTGGGTTACACCCATTTCTTAATTATCCAGCTAATAAGTTGAATTTTGTAATTATACAAATTCTACATTTGCCTGCACCTAGGCTGAGAATGAAAACTCGGCCTTATGGTATATTTCATCATATTCCAGAACATATAACCATTTTTCTATAAATGTTCAAGGAGAAGCAATAATTTCCGCTTGTAGATATTGGTATTATTTAGATGAGGTGCAGTTGCCGGTAAATTCTCAATTAGAAAACATATAAAAGGTAATCAAAATTTGGTTGCCAAGGATTGATACATGACACATGAATCAAGATTGCTAGAATTGTCATAAGTCAAGGGTTTATAGCTCTTGTCCTGTTCCTCTATCATCCATTGATCTTGCTAAGAGTTATGAGCTATTAATACCCTATTATGAAGATTGCAGTTGGTAAAACTTAGATGGCATGATAATCTTCTATTTTGTTTTATCTTTTGGCTGTGCTTTGGATTGATGCGATTAATATGAACATGAGTTCCGGAAACTTACTGTTATATTATCTGTCTGAGTTTAGTGGCTTTGGTCCTGGCATTTAGCATTTGACATACTGTTTAATTATTTGGATGATTTTACTTCATCACCTCTGTGCAGAAATCTCCATCATCTCTTTTCTGACATGTTTTTTCTTTTTCATGTGCAGGCAGAAAGGACTAAGGAACGGTATAAGCAGGTAAGTTTTTTCTCTCTCTCTCTCTCTCTCTCTCTTTCCTTTTTTCTCCCCTTTTGGGAGGGGATTTGATTAGGAATACCATCTTTCCCTTTTAGAAGAAAAATTCTTCCACATATTCTTTTTCTTCTTTCTTCTGCTTGTTAAAACTCGAATGTAGGTTTCCTAACTGATATAGCAGATGATAACTATAAAGAGAGATCAGAAATTGAAGAAGACTAGGGCAAGAGATTGAGTTTTCAGAAGTAGAATGTGAAGGGGGGAAAGTACTAGAAGAAGTGGAAGCAAACATAAAAGAAAGACCAGAATACTGGAACAAACTTTGAAATAATACTAAGATTGGAAAGTAACTCAGTCCAACATAACTTCGTATATTGTGGAAGGAAAGAAACGTAAGAGCTTTTGAGAGCATAGAGACTAACATTACGAAAATTAAAGTTTAAGTGGATTTATACTTTTGGTTCTATTTTGTTAGGTCATGACATCAAAAATTGGAATGATTTTGGGTGGGTCATGAACCACTTAATAGAATTGTAATATATACTTTGGTACCTTTGTGAATAATTGATATTTCAACCAAAAAAACATAACTTTATATATTCTTGAGGTGAATCCCATTGTATAGGCACTGATTAGAGTCAAGTTAGAAAACTACTACAATAGACATGATATCAAAACTTTCTAGATCATAACAAAACTCAAAATCTAGCAAACAAACTAAAAAAACCAAAAAAGTTAAAAAGTACTAATATTAATAATAGTTACAAAAATATTGCCAAACACAAGAATTTTCTAATCTAATTAATTTTCTTTTCTATATCACTGATTTCATCATCCTTTCACTGCTTGAGTAGTTGAAAGGCCAGTTCTACCTCCCAATTTCATGCATTCTTTGAAAAATAAGCTTTTTCCTTGCTAACATTTATTTAAGACCTTTAAACCTTAAAATTATTCTTTCCAAACAGTTTGAGAGATTTACTTGCTAGAATCTCTTATATTTTACCTTTCCTACTTTTAAGAGAGATAATACAACTGAGAGGAGTAACCCTACTGACTTCTGAAACTTAGCTGCTTGTTAATATAGATCAGCAATGTGGCATCAATTAAGTGCTAGTTGGCTAGCTGCAGTAAATTGAGAAGTTTATATAGTAGATTGAGGAAAGAGAAATGTGATTAAGGTGCTGGAAAAGTAGGAAATGAAGAACCGAAATGCAGAGTTGCAAATTATTTCCTTTGGAACTTCCATGAACGTTACTTGGAATGACATCTTCATTTAGGTTAGGTTACAAACTTCCTAAACTTTTGTTTGGCTTTTTATACAGATCTATCATCGTGATGTTTTTGTAGCTACATAGATGAACTAATGTACAATCTTTGTCCAAGACAATTTTCAGCTGCATAGAGTTGCAGTAAGTTAAATTACTATCATTACTAAGATTCAGTTTATTTTTCTTGCAGCTAATGGAAAAAGTGGTTCCAGTTATAGAGAAGCGAAAGCCACCACGTGTTCTCCGGAGAGTTCGCTCTCTGGAATGGTAGAAATATGGTGGTGGTTTTGTCTGATGAAACAACAAACAGTTGTCCGTGTCATGGTGGGAGTTTAGAAGCGCGACATAGAAAAAGGGGAGCGGACTTATTTTTGGTAATTTATATCATGCCGATTAGATATTTAAGCACGGATGGCAAACTTAGTCAGTGGAGGAAAGTTCCTTTGTACACAAGAAGGGAGCGCAGAGGAGAAAGCATATGAAAGTTGATTGATTAGTTAGTTTTTTTAGTGTTTGTTTGAAGTGGGAAGGGATACTCCCACTTCAAATGCTGATGTCTGAAGGTAAGTAAGAGGATTTTTCTGGTGGAGTATCTTTACTGTATTTTATATGTTGACAAAGCCATTATAGCTCTTTGACAAAATAGAAGGTTGTTGATAGTGATCATATAGTTACTAAATTAGGTAATTATCTTCGGCTATGGAGTGACTTATGTGTATAGTTTGCATGGTTGAACGCTGGTGTCATATGGATGGGAGAAAGTTATAGCAAATTGGAACTTATAACATTAATAGTGGATGCTAACTATTTGAAAGTACTAACATTTGTAATTAACATGATGTTTTTTTTTTTTTCTTCTCTTCTCTTTTTAAATGTTTAAAAAAAGTTAATTCAATTGATTTAATAATAATAAAAAGGAATAAAAGGAGAACAGTTGACAATTGTAATTTATCTAAAAATAATTTATGGGGTGAAAAATCAAAGCATGGTGTGAAGAGTTGTTATCTTAAAAACTGGCATTGTTATGGGATTTTGCAAGTGGTTTTAGCTGGTGGCCTTCACTTCACTTCATGTGTTCTTTATTTAGTCCCCCACATCGAATACTACAATACATGTAGGTAAAGCGGATGGTTGGTGTTGGGAAGTTTAACCGAGACAGCCTCTTCTTCTTGGCCTTATATCTGAGTGAGAGTACACTCATGGCTTCCTTCAGACATTGCGAAACGTGCAAATGTTTTTATTTCTAATCTGGCTATTCTTGAATATGAACTAAAACGTGTCTTCGTATGCTTTAATATTGAGCTTTGTCTGATACATCAATTTGGAATATGTAGAATATTTTTTTCTCTATCAATTATTCTGCGCTGACTCCTCAATTTTAACCAGGCATGATGGTAAGTGTTCTTAGTGGGTGTACCCGACAACAAAGTCAAAATTCAATTTTATTTTATTTTTAATTAAAAAAAATATATATATATTACAGTCACCTCAGTTCCAATTGTTTATGAATTTGATTTTACATTTATGCGAGAAATTTAAACTAAAGACAAGCCTTAATCTCAACCCCCCAAAAAAATAATAATAATAATAAATATTCAAATTGGTAAGCAAGAAGATTATGATTGGGAAAAACCAATTATAAATGGGAAAAAGCCGGACTGCACTCAGATTGCCCATTGCCCGGAAACTAATTATTAAATGTTGTTATTAACAAATCATTACTACAAACTTATATATCAAAATGGTAAATCTCTTCATTTTTCTTATTCTCTATAAAATCAAAGTGTAAATAATAATAAAAGTTCTTTACATAACATGATGATCTAGGGTTTTGTTCTAACATTAGTTTTCTTTTTTTTTTTTTTTTTTTTTTTTTTTTTTATCAAATGATTTTAAAAGTATATTTAAGCGGTAACAACTCGATATGATTCAAATTTTTATTAATTTAATATAAAAATATTGTCCCGTTAATATTGTTTTTGAGGAAAAAAAACTTTCACTTTGAAAAACACCAAATCAAAAAAACGAAGGTGTAAAATTACATTTATACATCTTAAATTAAAATGGGATGAAAAAAGATATTACACCAAATTAAACTTTTATTTGGCTTACTATAGAATGCTCCATCTGTTATCTTCAAAAAGAAAAAGAAAAGGAATAATCTCATTGGATACATTTAATAACTTGGTTAAAATCTTAAATGGGGAAGAACTCCAATCTTTTTATTACTACTTCAAGGAAAAGTAAGTAAAACAAGTCAATTAGATTCCTCAACTTTTTTTGGTCCCATAGGAAAAGCTAATCATTTCATTAAAAAAAAGAAAAAGCAAATTGGATTCCTCACACTAACAATTGAATTTTTTATTTATGTACAGATATATATATATATATATATATGATTATGAATACTGAACAGAGAGAGAAATGTAGTATATATAGCCGTAAGTAATCATTTTAGAATAATAATCCCCATCATTTTTAATCACTCCACTTCTACTGTTATTATTTTAATCTTTCTTTTTCAGTAAAGTTTTTTCCACAAACAAAATCATTATACTTTTTACTGTTTAAAATAATACCCACACAGATACCACAGAGACCTCTCTCTCTCTCTCTCTCTCTCTCTGGACTCCATTAAAACCCCAAATGCTTCTGACAAATTCACACCCTCTTCTCACAACAAAACAAAACAATTCACACAAACAAAAACAACACAAGCACATTTCTCTATACCCTTTTCTTTTTTCTTTAAAAGCTGAAATCTCTCTATAAACCCTTTAAAGCATTCTTCTTTTTAATTTTCAAAGTGGAGTGGTAGCAGAGTTGCAGCTCAGGTCATGATGATGATGATGAAGAAGATCTTCTCCATGCTTATCTTCTTTCTCTGCTTTGTCTCAGCTCTTCTTCTCCAGCCTTGTCTTTCCACAACAATACTTGTTGATGGTGTTTCTGTGTGGAAAAATCCCAGTGTTCGTGTAGGAGATTCTATCAGTAAGTCCTTATATTCTATACTTATGCCCACCACGATTTCATTTTATCTTGATTTTCTGGGCTGCTAAACATGTCTCAAGTCTCAACCTTTTTTCTTTTTCTTTTTCTCAGTTTTCAAACACCAGAATCACTATAACCTCTACATTTTCCAGAACAAGAATGCTTTCAGTCTCTGCAACTTCACCCAAGCAACACTCCTCACTAAACCCAACTCCACCTCCTACACGGTATGCTAATTTCTTCGTCTTCTTCTTCTTCTCTGTCTCTCCAATATTTTCATTTGCATGCTTGTTTTTCTCTGTAAATTTTCTCTCTTTTTTTTCTTTAATTTTTTAATGCATTCCAATTTTCTAGCTTTACAACCTGCCAGTACTACCCAGAATCTTTTGATTTTCCATTTTCTTGACTTAAACTATGAGTAGGTAGATCAAAAGGGAAATTTTTGGTTGACAATCTGTTTTTTTTTTCTTTTTTACCATTAAAAGATTTTTAACCCATAATAAATTTGTTTGTGGGTTACTCAATTTATCACCTAATACGTTTTGACTTACAATTTATCAGTTCTGCTCTGTCTCATGATTTGGCTGTGTTCTGTTGACCCATCTGGAAAAGAGACCAAAATCTGAATAATTTTCTTCTCTTCATTAGAAATTTATTTCCATTCGACATTTTTAAAGCTCAAAATCTTCTACTCAAGATCACCATTGTCTCATATTCAAGCTTTCTGATATTTCTTCTCTTCCCTAAACTTCACAGTGGCACCCATCACGACCTGGTTTCTTCTACTTCTCCTTCAACAACGGCTCTCTCAACACATGCCAGAACTCTCTAAAGCTGTCCATAGAGGTCATCAGCCCCGCTCCTATAACCCCCTCAAAAGATCTCCCTCCCACTGCCACTCCCGCCCCGATTTCCGGCGGGGTGGTCTCGTCTGCTCCGTCGTATCCTTGGCCCTTCAGACCTCGCCAAGGGGCATTTTCACCGGTGCCGGCACCCACGGAAAACTCCCCGGTGACTGTGCCAACACTTGTTCCTGATAAAGGAGCAGGCGACGGCGGCAACGGCGGTGGTAGTACGGCTATTCCATTCATCAATAGCAATCCCGCCGTTCCATTGCCGACGGGGGAAGTGGACTCTGCTACTATACGCCCTTTGCCTACTTCAGGCCAAGCTTCGCAGGTAATTTTCAATTATCAAGTTTTTAACTCTGTTTTTCTAGCTCTGTTTTATTGTTTTCTTGACATAAAATATTTCTAATTTATTATGTCAAGTTTGTATTATTATTTTAAATAAATATTATTTTGTTTTTTGATGTATAAAATTCTTAATCATAATGTGTATATATATATATATATATATATATCAAACGTAAATTACGAAATAACTTCATATCCTAAATAAGCTTTATTTTTCTAAGAAATGTTATCTTTAAGTGAATAACTTGATTTTAACCAAAAAAAAAAAAAAAAATAAATTAAATCAAAAAATGCATAAACTAATACATCTAAAGTGCTCTAATTTTGTAATAACTTTTGATATTATGTTGGTTAACTAGTAATAATGGATATGTATACGATGGGGCTCCATATGGAGTTTATATATATTTTAATATACATATACATATTTTATTTATTAACAAATATATTATAAGTTGATAATAATTAATTTATAATATTTTACTTAATAAATTGGATAATTTATTTACTAATATTAGTATTGAAAAAATTATAATTATGTTTCTTACCCAAAAAAACCTTAAGTGGTGGGTAGATATTCTTGGTTAATAATATAAATACAATGGAATCTAATGTTATTAGTATTATTATTATTATTATTTTCATAAAAGTTACACATATATATCAATGATAAGATAGTTTTTTTTTTATTGAAGAACACAAAAAAAAATACACAGTTGAACTCAGAATTCACACAAACTTACTAACCATCCATCTAATTCAACCAAAAGCTTGTTGCTACAATCGTTAACATTGATGAGTGGTTGCAATTTGAATTATTGGGTTGGTTTTGCAGGTGGTGGTGGTGGGGTTGGTTGCAGGCCAAACGGCTCTATTCTCTATAATTTTGCTGGTGCTGTAAAATAAAAAAAGAAGAAGCAAAATTAGCAGAGAAAGAGAGAGTGCATGTGCAAGCTGTAAATTTACAACAAAAAAAAAAAAAAAAAAAAAATTGTGGAGGGAGGAGAGTGTTTGAGAGGGAGGGTTAAAGTAGGGTTGAAGGTGATGGTTAGTGGCATTTCATGTCGTTGGTGGTCTTATTATGCTCTACTTTCCCACCTTTTTGGTTTTTCAACTTTCC